TCAACATGCAAGCCTCGCATATAACTGGAAGCCAGTTGATGGCATGATCTTGCATGACCAGCCGCCGATGCTGCCTCGAGTCGCTATCAAGTCCTAGTTCACGGTGCCATCGTGAGGATCGCACATGCTCCAACCTAGTCTAGCAGCCTAGAAGATTTGCCAGCTCCTCTGGCGTCAAGGTGCTTTTTCTCCTCTTTGGCCTCCCACTGATTCGTGTCTTGACGGGAGATCTAGGTGCCCGCTTCTTAGGGTTTTCCTCGGACACTTCGGTGCTTTCGTCCGACTTCTTGGTGGAGATGTCTCCGTCGGTTACAGCGGCTGCTTCCGCGGCCTCTCGTAACTTGTCTTGGACCGATAGCTTCGGCGATCGCTCGTCGGGATGGGCACGTGGGCTCGACAAGCGCTTCTTGGTCTGTCGTAGATTGTCAGATTTGTTGAGGGATGGGTGTCGTGCTGATGGGCTGGAGGATGTGGAGGGAGTGGACGTAGAGGGAAAGATGTCACAACGTACATGGCGTGGTCTGTCTTGACTTGTTGGTCTTGACGCTCGTTCTTCTGAACGAGGCGGTTTGGCTGCAGAGGTTGGCCGACTAACCTTCTCCGCATCGACTAGATCTATCCCAGACGTGTCTGCGTTCTCTCCGTCCACCTGAGACGGTGTATTCGGTATGGACGCTGAGAAGGCGACTTTGCGGGGCGATCGACTGGGCGACTTGTTGCCGTTGGTCTCCCTCAGCGCTGGCTGGCTGGGTTGCAACTTGATGCTGAAGACATCGGGCCCGGTTGTCTTGTCTGGTCTCGCGTGTGGCTTGGGTGAGGGCAGGTAGACCGCCTCCTCTTGCTCTTCTGTATTGTCCACGTCTTCTTCTAAGGCTGAGCTTGCAGCTTCCTCAGCCTCGCTTTCTTCATCGATCACGGAGAATCCTTCCCTGTCGACCGTCTCGAACCCTTCGCCAAATCCTAGTCCCATCCTAAGCTCCTCGAGATTGATGGTGTCGCCATTGGTCATGCGCTTTCGCCAGGAGTCCATGAGGAGGAACGACTCGCGCAGCCGAGCCTCCATCTTCTCCCAGCCCGCCCGCAGCCTGTGTATCTCCTCCTCGCGCATCTCGACCTCGTCCACTGCTACAAAGTTTGGATTTGTGAGGAGGTTCTTCAGGTTGTCCAAGACCGTGTCCATGTCGTCGGCGAGAGTCTCGTAGTCGGTAGGCAGCGTGTGCAGCATGTCCTGTTGCGTGTCGTCTTGCTCGTCGCCCGCGACCGAGGCGTCGTCTGCGTCTTGTTTGCGATTGACTTCGGGCATGCCTTGTAGCTCTCGTAGCGTCACCAGGGCGCTCCGCACGAGGCCGATGAGGTTGTCGTTCTCGTCGCTCAAGCTCTGGCTCAGCTGCGTCAAGAACTCGGTCGTCTCCTGCTTCAGGCTGTATTCGGGGTCGTCGACATTGGGCGACTCGTCGCGCGCATGGCCCGTGGCGGCGCCCAAGCCTGTGCTGCCGGGGTTGATGGTGATGCTGGCGCCGACGAGGCCCGTCTTGTTGCCGCGCTGCTGGCTCGTCAGGTGGCTCTTGAGCCGTGCAATCTCCTTGTCGCGCTTGCGCACGTCGTTGGTGCAGCTGGTGCGCACTTGGTCGACCGTCGTCTTGAGGCGCTGCATCTCGGCGCGCAGCTTCCGCGCCGACGACTCGGCCGTGTGCAGGGCTTTGCGCGCCGACTGCTCTTGCGCCTGGGCGAGCGAGAGCTGTCGCGATAGGTCGGCATTGCGGTTGTGCTGCTTCTCGAGGGCGGCCGTCTGGCGCGTCGACTCGGCGCGCAGGCTTCGCAGCGTGTCGGCGCTGGATTCGCGGTATTCCTGGTCGCGCTATCTGCTCATTAGGACCCTCTCCACCAGAACGTAAACGTGCATGTGCCTACATCGCGCTTCAATATCAGGTCGTGCACCAGGTTGATGATCTGGGCCATGGTGGCCTCTTTCCCCCCTTCTCCCCTCGACGGATGCGCAAACTCAATGGGCGTGCCATTGCGCAACAACCCCCGCGCAAGCAGCAGGTTGTTGATGTACGTCGACGCCGTCTTGAGATTGTACGAGTCCATGGTGAGTGCAGCCGTCGTCGTCGGCTACCGGCGGCGTCGTCGGATGCGGCGGCGTTGTGAGCTTGTCGGCCACTGTTTGTTTATCCCTGGGTTCCGATGCCCAGGTAGGAGGTAGAAGGAGCAACCGAACAAGCACGGACCTACGCGTTCCGATCCTTCCGCCACGACTCCATGCAATGTCGACGTGATACGACGACGTCCACCTTCAGCCAGCCCGTCACAGCCGTGCATGCAGCCTCTTCGTGTCCTTCTCGCATCATCACCATCGTTGCATCCGCCTGCACCCGGCTTCACCTCCACTCGCGCTTCAGCAATTATCGTGATTACAAGCGACATACATATACTTCTCTAGCGTATCTGTGCGTGACTCTCGTTTCGCATGGCCCAGAAGTTTAATGCCACAGACGTGTTTTTCCCCTGAGGTCGGACTCGGACTCGGTCCCACCATCAGCGCACCCCACCATGACCGTCGATGACAATTATACGCACTGCTTGTCTGACAAACCTTCGGGTTCCGAGACTGCCAGTCCTGCAATTCGGCACTCAAGTACCGTTTCCAATACTGGGCTCGCCTTATCCTATCCAGGCTAAATACCCATTCAAGCAAACCATATAGTTTTACGACGGTGTGCGTCGATTCCCCTCAAATGTCGGGCCCATTGCCGTAAGCTTCGCAGGGACTCACACATGATCTGCACTCAATTCCTGATTTCATGCGTCGCCATTGGAGGGGGTTTGCCGTATTTTACGATTCTTCCACGCGACCTGCCCTAGCCATGGTTCTCCCCAGCTTGTGTACATGTGCTGCTCTCTGCATGGCTGCCATGGCGTCTGGAACCAAGACCGGGGACAGCTAAACCTAACGTCGAAGAAGCCCACATTGTAGTACTTAAGGCACGTCGCTCATCAAGAGGTGGTCTGTAGGCTGCGTTCGTTCTTCTGCGCTTTCGTCCATCTTTCCCTCGTTCCTTACATTCATTCACTTCTAGACATGGACAAGTTCGTCTCCCTCGCTCTTGCGACTCTCCTGTTAGGAGCCCAATCCGCCTTTGCTATTCCCACAGAGGCCACTACCAAAGCATGTAACGAAATCAACAATGCTCTTCCAGGAAAAGTTCTCACTCCGGGACTTCTCAAGCTCGAATACGCACATGAGACGCAACAGTACTGGGCTACCAATCTCCGCGAAGTCGATCCTGCATGCATTGTTCAACCAGACTCTGCCCAAGATGTGTCTATTGCTATCAAGATCTTGAACAAGTACCCGACTGTCAAGCTTGCTACACGGAGCGGAGGTCACGATCCAAACAAGCAACATGCTGCGGTCCAAGACGGTGTTCTCATCGCCATGACCAATCTAGTCGGAGCGACGTATGACGCAGCAGAAGATGTTGCATACGTCCGACCGGGAGGCGAATGGAACGACGTCATTGGCGACCTTGAGAAGAGCGGCGTGGCAATCGCTGGAGGACGACTTGGTCTCGTCGGTGTCGCTGGTCTGCTGCTGGGTGGAGGTCTTTCATTCCTCGGTGCTCAAGAGGGTCTTGCAGCCGATGTCAGTTTTCCGCTATATGCAAAGGACAGCTATGCTAACAAGCGATAGAACATCATCGAATGGGAGACTGTTATGGCGAACGGGTCTGTCGTCAACGTCAACGCCGCAAAGCATCCCGACCTTGCGCAAGCTATGCGTGGTTCCGGTAGCCAGTTCGGTATTGTCACCCAGTTCAAGACTAAAGTCCATCACATGGGCGACGTCTGGGGTGGCTCATGCGTCTTCGACGACTCAAAATCCGACGCGCTATACGCTGCTTTGCACAACTTCATGGCACACGGTGCCGAAGACCCCAAAGCGGCCATCATTCTCACGGACCTCGTAGTCGCAGCTGGAATCAAGACGAAAATCCTCTTTTCCTTTTACGACAACCCTAAGCCACCTACATCGGGTCCGTTCGCCGATTTCTTCAAGATCGTCAACCCTTTGTGTCTACCCAAGACACAAAAGTACTCTGAGCTAGTAAGTCTATAATCTAACTTCAATGTGCCGTACAAGAATTAACAATTCTCAGCTGAAGGCGAACGGCGAGCCAGTCCGACTCTTGAACGCCCGCGCATTCTTCCGTACTTACACTGTCCCATACATTGCATCCCGGCCTCAGATGTACAAGGAGATTCGCGACAAGCTTGCTGAACTCACTGGTATCTTCCTCAACACCCTACCTGTCGTTCGCGCTATCCAGTTCAGCGTTGACTTCCAACCTCTTCCATCCCGCTTTGGAAAGATGTCCGAGTCCAAGGGCGGAAACGCCATGGGACTTTCGTCCTCCGACCCTGACCGCATCATCCTAATCTACCAAGGAGCGTGGAACTTGCCCACAGACGACGGTCTTGCGTTTGGCATCGCCAGGGAATTGACGGCTTGGTTGGACAAGGTCGTGCCTCAATGGATAGCAGAAGCGGGTATGCCAAGCGACATGTACATGCCATTATTTATCAACGATGCCATGTGGGACCAGCCAGTTTTCCAGAGCTACAAGGATTACAACAAGTTCAAGGCATTGCAGAAGAGTGTTGACCCGAAGGGCTTGTGGAGCACCAGGGCAGGCGGCTTTAAGTATTAGGTCCTTGTCGCCAACGTCGTTATTATCTAGTACATACAATAATGTGTATTTTGAATACCATCGTGTCAATCGCATCTTTCGCACGCTTGCTGCCGTTAGTCAGTCGCATCCTGGGAGCAGAATAGGAAGGTGTTCTTGAAGCAGCGGGGCCACTATACTGGAAGCGGGGTAGTCGTACCTAGGTGTCTGACTCCATCACTACCAGTATGACTGTCTTGCATACACGTCGACTACAAAAGCCCCTTCATCTTCTTGTCTCGCCGCAAATTTCGTATCTACTACCAACGCATGATGGCTCAAACACTCCAGTTCACCAGCTACGAGCATGAAGATGCCTGGGACGTGAATTGGCTGCGCGTGGATGACACCCATGAACTTTACTATCAACAGTTCGGCAAGAAGGACGGAAAGCCTGGTACAAGTGCCAGCCATGTTGTCCAACCTTCCTGATAATTAACGCTTTGCAGTCATCTACCTCCATGGTGGGCCTGGCGGGAACTGCTCCAAAACCAACACCGTCTTCTTCAACCCCTCTGAATACCGAGTGGTTCTGCTCGACCAGCGAGGCTGTGGTCAATCGCGCCCTAATGCCAACACAACAGACAACACTACTTGGCATCTCGTCGAAGACATCGAAAAGCTGCGCAAGCATCTGAAGTTTTCCAAATGGCACATGGTCTTTGGTGGCTCCTGGGGATCCACACTCGCTCTAGCATATGCGCAAACACACCCCGATAGTGTAGGTAGTCTAGTCCTGCGCGGCATCTTCACCGTGCGAGACATCGAACTCAAGTGGACCAACCATGCAGGCGGCGCGCAAATGCTGTTTCCCGACCGCTGGGAGGACTTTATCAAGTTTTTACCAGAGGAAGAACGTTCCGATCATATCGGCAACTACCACAAACGCCTCATGTCTTCAGACTCGTCTATCAGTCATCCCGCGGCTGAGGCGTGGAACACGTGGGAGCTATCAATCAGCACCCTGTATCCTGACCCACACGCGTACAAGAAACTGAAAGAACCAGCCTATCTCCTCGCACATGCTAGGATGGAGATTCACTACTTCATCAACAAAGCATGGATGGAAGACGGGCAGCTGTAAGTCTTGGCTGTATGGAATGCAAATGATTACTGACTTCGTCCTGCAGGTTGAGGAAGGAGAACGTGGACCGGATCCGGAACATTCCGACGACCATCGTGCAAGGCAGGTACGATGTTGTCTGCCCGCCGGTTACAGCCTGGGAGTTGTACAAGCAGTGGCCGGAGAGCAAATTGCACTTCATAGACGACGCTGGGCACAGTGTTATGGAGCCCGGGACGAGAAGGAAGCTGACTGAAGTGTGCGACGAATACGCGTCTCTGAGCGTTTAGCCCTATGCAGCCGTGGAACCCGTGTTAGGCTAGCGTTATCCTGAGACATCACGATCCGATGAATTTGACGGAAAATTAAGCCGTGCTCGAGCATCGCAGCTTTGGTTTTACGGGCCGTTTATGTGTTGGCTGACTAACGCCAAGACTGTCTGCTAAAGCCCAGAAGACTGCTGGGGCCCGCGCAAACGTCGCACGCAGCACCAGCAGTCTTCATTCTATGTGAGTGACGTAATGGACCATGGCTACGACCGCGCCCATCTCGACCACGACGCCACCCGCAGCTATCGATAACCACGAACGGGTACGCGCATACGAGATCGCCGCGTGAGAATTGCCAGCCGACGTCACATTGCCGATTCCTGTTGCTAACACGGCCCTAGATATCTCTCTGCCGCGTCGTTCCCCTTCCACATCGCAGAAGGACCGCCGTCCGAACCAGTCCCCAGCAGCGACATAACCCTCAACGCCCTCGTCCAGCATGGCGTACATAAGATGGACTGCGATCGCGCATTCCTTTCGCTCATTGATAATCGAAATCAATTCATATGCGCAGAGATGACGAGGCACCAGTCGCTTTCGAGTGCAGACCCGGCCGAGCCGCTCTTGCTGGGTACTTCCCGAATCGCCCTCGAATGGGGCGTCTGCCCATTCACCATGTGCATCTTCCAGGGAAAACCAGTGCCTATGCCGGAAAGTCCCTATATCATTGCCGACAAGTCGTATTTCTGCATAAAAGACTTTCGCCAGGTTCCCACATTTGCCGAGCGCCCGTTCGTGGCTGGCTACCCGCACATGGTTTCATACCTCGAGATACCGCTGTTTGCAATGTCTGGGCACATATTGGGCAGCTACTGTGTTGTTGACACTAAAGAACGGGACTTTCTGCATCCCAAGTCTCTGAGCACTCTTCGCGAAACCACCTCGGCTATCAGTGCATACCTCGATATGCGACGCGCCGAAGCTTGTAAGTCTCGATCTGCTGAGATGATGCAAGGTCTTCGCCGCTTCGTAGCTTCAGATGACATGGTTCCAAGGTCTGTGGCCCCTGTGCGCCCTGGAGCTCACACAAGCCAATTCGACCTAGATGTTTTTGGCGCCGCCTCGCGAAGAAAACCTGACAAGAAGTTGTCCGACGGTACGAATGCAAGCGTCACCATGTCAGACCATGTCCAGTCATTGCCTGTTTGCGATACATCTGTTATCGTTCCGCCCCAAGATAATGTCTCGAAACGGGTCAAATCTGACTTTGCTACTCAAGTCGACACTCTCTTCATGAGAGCCGCAGATAGTATTGGCGATGCTATGGGTCTGGATGGCCTAGTTTTCTTTGACACTGTTTCAACTGGCGCTCGAAACAAAGGTTGCCAGGTACGAGACATGTCTCCTGACAATACATCTTCGCCAACATGCGATCTCTTTGCGGTACCTCTGTCCTATTACCACAGAGATAACGCCCTCGGAAAGCTGAAATTGCGTCAGTCGCTCATCCAGCGCTTGACTGCCAAGTACCCTCGAGGGCATGTCTTCGCAGTCGATGAACATGGGGTCTTCCAACACGATTGCGATGACGAACTTGACTCTGCTGCGGATGACAGATGGAATGACCTCTTCAGTTTATTGCCAAAGACCCGCTACGTAATATTCCTGCCTATGTTTCACTACTCAAGAGAAGCTTGCTACTCTACCTGCCTAGCTTGGGTATCTGACACAGGCAAAACACTTGATACTGGCGATGTCAATTCATTGACAGCTTTCGGTAACTCACTGATGGCTGAGGTCTTTCGCTTAGAAGCATGCGAAAATACACTTTCCAAGTCGGATTTTGTTTCGACCATCAGTCACGAGTTACGAAGTCCCTTGCATGGCATTTTGGCCAGCATTGAGCTGATCCAAGAAAACTGCCAGGGATCTGGTTTGATGTCGGAGATCTCCATGATTGAGTCTTGTGCGGTTACTCTTCTCGATACATTTGACCATCTGTTGGAATATTCCAAAGTGAATAGCCGCGCCAGCGTTGGACAAAGAGGCGGAAATGGAGATCCTCGTTCCACCACCCACGTTCATCACGGTGCAGTAGCTGTCGACCTGGCTTCTATGGTGGAAGATGTCATTGGGACTGTTTCCGTAGGTCATGACCATTCTTCGCGCCTCTCTTCTGGACTTAATAAAGAGCGTCAAGATTTGTTGGCTGGATCGCCCGCAACGGCACAAACCGAGCCTGTCGTCGTCACCACACACATTGAAAAGGCCCGTGATTGGACCTTTGTCATTGACAAGGGTGCTTGGAAGCGCATTTTACTTAATGTCGTCAGCAACGCATTGAAGTATACCAAGTCGGGCTACATTCACGTAGGTCTAGCATTTATGGAGGCTGCCGATGACAGTCAGTCGCAAATCAGTCTTTCTGTGACCGACACGGGTGTAGGCATGAGTGAGGATTTCCTCAAGTACCATCTTTTTACACCCTTCACTCAGGAGAATCTACTAAGTCCAGGAACTGGGCTAGGTTTGAGCTTAGTGAAGAGCATCGTGGAGTCACTACACGGAACTATATCAGTCTCTAGTCGTTTGGGCAAGGGAACGAAGATCATCATCAACATTCCGGCTAGTCAAACGGCGCAGAGACCAAATGCGCCACGTAGCGAGAACGTTTCCTCTCACGAAAGCCTACGCGGAAAGGCAATCGGTATGCTCAGTCTCTCTCTACTCGAAGAGCAAGGCAAAGAATTTGCACCCTCTATCGATTCGCCTCCCGAAGCGCTGGAGCGGGCCGTTCAAAATATCTGCGAGGATCGCTTCGGCATGAGGTTCACCACTGTTTCCACAGACACACTTCCGGTTCTGGATGTACTCCTCATCGATCACCATACCATCTCTTCGACACTCACGTACGACTTGAAAACATTGTTCCCTACGTATACGGGAGGGACTTACCCGGTCATGGTCGACCTGCGCAATATGAAAGGCGCACCTCCCGAATCTGGCACTAGCAAGGCCATGCACACGGTACTAGTCACTGCAAACTCGCTCGGACCTGCACTCATCTCGGCTATGAAGGATGCCACTAACAAGGAGACGGCAGACTCGGTGCCGTCCATAGAAGTCAGAAGCAGACCTGACATGGAGCCAACAGAGCAATCAGAACATGCCGACACAATCCTAGAGCCAGACCCGCAAACCAAAGTACTTCCACACCGCAGCTTATCGTTGCCGCGTGTGACACTAGCCGACGCCGCCACAAGTCCTGTTCTACAAGCACCATTACCAACACAACCACCTACCCCGCTTACAAGCAGCCCAACATGCCGATTCCGCCGTCTGCTCTTGGTAGACGATAACCCCATAAATCTAAAGATGCTTTGCGCTTTTGCAAAACGCCTCGGCGTACCGTATTCCAGTGCCACCGACGGCGCAGAAGCGGTGCGTCTCTATCAAACCGCCACTGAGCAAGAGGACCCAAAAGCAAATTTTGACTGCATATTCATGGACATCAGCATGCCAGTTATGGATGGCTTCCAGGCCGTGTCAAAGATTCGTGGAATCGAACACGGTTTGATGGAAAAAGGCACACCAAGACAGTCCGATGACGCTGCGAGACATGGTCTAGATGGTACTCTAGAGGATGAGAGAGGTATCCGGGCGTACATCTTCGCATTAACGGGTCTTGGTAGCGAGAAAGCGCGAAAGCAAGCGAAGAATAGCGGTTTTGACGAGTTCCTTCTCAAGCCAGTGAGGTTCAAAGACGTCCTACCGTTGTTGGCACGTCTGCCGACTGCATGAGGACTATGGGTCATCTGTCGCATTGAATGCAGACTTATTTATGGGGGCGTTGGTTTCATTTAGTCTATGTAACATGCTGGCGTTCAGATTCTGGGGAAGCTCTACTAAGAGCATATGGATGTAATAATGACCTTGGGAATAAGGCTTCCGGTAGCACCGCTTGCTCAACATACGAACAATTTCAGAACAGTGAAAGCATCCTGAGTGTACGCTACTCACTGACGGTTGTCTTGGTTAGCCTTCATCATGTCTGTCAGTGTTTGCTTTTCCATGTCTTATAGCAAGGCGCTTGTAAGTCGGTTCAACCCCTCCGACGGCAATGAGAGGAGCTACGAAAGCCCGCTCTGTAGTTGCAAAGAACGAAAAAGTAAAGAAACACGGACAGGAGGCTGAAAGTAGAAGGTGCCGTTCTGCTTGGAGGACTAGGAGCTTAGCCTCGACCAAACATCTATAATGGTAGATGCTGTCATGCGGAGGCGCCTCACGACTTCGTGACGCCTGAGGGATAGAGAGCTGGATCGCATTCTTGTTGGCGGAGCTCGATATTGAGGTGACGTTGTGGCGCCGTCACATGGATGAGGACTGTCTCGTCTATGGTCTTTGCTTGACGTTTGTTGGTGCGTTAATGATGGGGTTGGAGTCTGAGCGCCTAGTTGAGGACTACCCAGGCATGTTATATGCACACGCACTTGTAATTGAGGTTCAAGGCGAGTCTTCTACTCACTGCTGTACGTAGCCGTAGTCTGTCTGGAGGTCTGTAGAAGTACGGCCGACTTCACAAAAGACTGGCTCGTACATGAAAGAAGCCAGTAAGAATCAATCAGCGTATTGAGCCCGACTCGGTACAACATCAAAGTGAGTGCTGCCCAGTGGCGTCAGGATGTGGAGTTTAGCGTTCTGTGCCAAAGCCTTTCGCCTAGGCACGCGCAAGTTACATGGCAGTGCAGACAG